AAAATCTGCATAACGACTAAAACTGAGAGCAGCAGAATACAGTCATTTACGTCTAAAAATGCATGGGTGAAAAAGACTGTGTCATTTGATCGTAAAATGTAAGAGGCATTGAGAGATGTCGTCTCACAACACAATGATTTTGTGAAAACTATTTAATACTGAGAAAATTTCATATCGGGTTTCGTGTCAGTGTATTTTTCAAAATACACTTACCCCTTGTACCAACTGGCTATAGACTGAATAATAGTGATTTGATTCAAATTAACTAATAGTGGTTGGATACCTCCCCACCCCGTCGCCCCTAATCACCCCCCAAAAAACCCAAAACAAAAACAAAACAACAACCAAAACCAAAACCAAAAACAAAAACAGAAAATATACAGAAACAAACAACATCCATCACCACCCAAACCCCACCCCCTCAAATAAACCAACAAAAAACAACAACAAAAACAACAACAAAACAGAAAATTAACCCGTACATGTACGTAAGTAATGTTTATGTTGAAAAAGTGCAAGACCATTTTTGACAATCTTATTGAACGTTTGTGGTGGTTATGTATGCGATATCGGTAAGTAACAAAACAAACTGCCTACTTATAAGTGAAAGTTTTTTACATGTCACGGAGAAATAGTCCCAAGTGACAATTAGAACAGGGTTAGTGTGTCATGTAAAAGAGGCACGTTCGTTTATTACAATTAGTCGAGTTGAGAAAATTGTCTCTGCACGCCAGATGAACACGGATTGATATTGTAAGTGCCAAATTACTCGCGCGTCTAACGCATAGCAATTTGTGGACGAATGTATATTCAGTGAAACGTAATGGACGTGCGCACCACGGGGCACTGTCTTAGTTCGTTTGTTTAACTGGGTTAAGCATTCTGGGGTTTCTTTCAATCATCATAATGACAGTCCCTGCTATCATATTCCTGTATGACTTAAACCGTTTACAGAGAACCGGTTGGTTGGAGTTTAAAGACCACTGACCTTGATCAGCAAGCATTCCACCGTACCCCGATGCCATGGACATATTTTATAGCAGCAGCGTTTCTATTCCGATCATTCCATATACATTAAGGTTGCTATTAAATCTTGGATTACCGTTTCACTGAATTACACCACAAACAAAATTTGATCACTGAAACTGTAAAGGTGGCTAAGCATTAAGGACAAAATGGCAAGTTTTGGGTCATGATCATCATGTTGGGTAATATTAAGTTGTGTTGTCGGGACAACCGTGTATGTGTGTGTGTACATATTTGTTTTTCTGAAGGAAAGAGACGAATATTTCACTGTCTGGGAATCCACCATGTCTGGTGAAAATACTATTGCCCCAGTAATTTCTTGGCCACAAATGATTTAATTAAAATCCAATTTTCTTAAATGAACACATCTAAGTGTTCTGACACAGTCCATGTAACTTGCACATCACTGACATCTGCTGGTTCTTAACGGTAACAACATAATAAAGTTACAACAATGTTTTACAATGAATAACACTGCCTCACATACACAACAACATGTTATTCATGTGCGGTTGACATCGGGCATGAGTAATTTGTGCAGCGTCCATTTGAACGACATATGCACTGTTTAACATTGCTTTGATTTTCCTCTTTTGAATGTCAAATCGATTAATTGCACTTAAGTTCAGATACAAGTATCCCTTTTAGATCCCACACTTCTATTACGAGCAGGTAATTATGTATTGTAAGAACACAAGTCAGATGAGAGATAAGTGCATAGCGCTTTGAGCTCACATTAGCAGTTAACCCTTTTCTGTACATTCGACTGTGTTACATGTTATCAGATGTGTATTAATTTTGGTGTATGTGAACATGACATGACGTTGGTTTATAAGTACAACCCTTTTGTGAATGTGTGCGCGCATTTGTATCTTTGTGTGTTCATGTGAGTGTGTGTACATTCCTTTACGTTTATTCCGCCTTAAATTAAATTCTAGTGGCCTTAGCTTTGACATTTGCGAAACATAAGAGTTTTGATGATAAAGCTCGCGGTATTAATAATTCACAACCACTAAATGAAAACAATGACTAATTGAATTACAACAAGAAAGACTGATGTTCACGTTTACAACATGATTCATTTTGAATTAGGAAACCCTGAGTGACCTTCATATTTGGCGAAGTGCCTGGAAACTCGATCAAGAGCGGAATCATCTCTTAGAAGTCAATTATATAATGCATTTGACCGCAAAAAGAAATTGTGGTCAATGTCAACTTAGCAGAATGGGATTGCGATGAATCATTTTGTAAGCTAATGAAACCGATGGGCCACCAACCCATTAAACACCACCGCTTTAGGTTGTTTCATCGATGTATTACTTCAGCGAAACAATTACCATGCATTTGCACGTATTTGTGACAAATACCACCCTTGAGTGTAGGATGCACTCAACATTTTGTGAACTCCTGGTATCAACACTTTTGAAAATGATTCATAACACAATTTTTATTTATATAGTCGGAACTCTACTTTTATACCAGATTCCTTACAGGTGTAACAAAAACATACTTGTTAAATAAAGCTTATTTCATGCTTACCTTTTTGTCACAGATTTTTCGCTCAAATCATTTGGAATCATTTCCTTAAAGGATCGAGACTAAATATTCTCAGGAGTTAATATTCTATATTTATGATTGTGGAAAAGGTTTTGTCGTATTTTGAAAGACATAGTAGTATCGATTATGATATAAACTAATTTCTCTGCAAATCTGAAGACATATAGTAATCCCAGAAATTACTGAGAAAGTTCTTTCGGCAAATACCTAACATGTGTATAGAAACTATAGAAGTTTGACTTAAATGAATGTGTTGAGATATGATTCTCTTACAGTCTAAGTGTCTTTTCAGTACTTTGCGAGACCTCTTGCCTTGCAATACACGGCTGAATGCGCCTAGGTACACTACCGATCAAAATTTGTAGGAAATCGTGTGACAACGTATCCAAATATTTGACCACCTCTTTCTTCATATCCTCAATATGTCTAAGTCCTTTTTGGTTTATTCTGTCATTAGTCCCCACATATTCTCAATAGGGTTCAGATCTGGGCTGTAGCTGGGCCAGTCTAAATGATATTCGTCCGACAACGACTGTTTTGTGCAGCCAGCAGCATCCAAATATCTTCAGACAGTGTTCGGGCCGTTAAAATTCTATTAGCAGTATTAGGAAACACAGATTTTCTCAATGATTTCTGGAAATTTTTTATTTGAGCTACGCAAACTATGTCTTATAAGCATTTGTGCTGGGAACCGTTTTTTGTACACAATAATGAGACAATTCGTGCTTGTAGAATATTATATAAGACCTGTATTATTCAGCTCGTCACACAGAACATAGTAATTTAAGAATATATCATCGTTGCCAATCTTCATAATTGAAAGAAATGAATTGAAAGACTGATATTATCGTGAACGTAATTGTGCGTCCTTGAACTTATGATTTGAAAAGTGAGTTGGATGTAGCGCCCCCTTAAACACTACATGCATTTAATTTATATTAAAGTGCATCAGCACATGCCTTCAGGTGATATATCTGGGTGAAAACCACAAAAGCATAATCAGCACAAACCGGGATTCAGATCCACGATAACAAGTTCCTGGTACGCCTAAGGGAGGTAACACAACACGGTAAACTCAACCATTTTAAAGGTGGCTGGTTGCAAGCTACAATTAACCATTTTTGTTGCTATTAAAAGAGTGAGTTAGCTGATTTGGACACACTTGCAAGGCTTTTCGTTAAATCACGACGTCATGTGAATACGCTTTCGTAGATCCGTCGTCCAATGGTTTGGCTATCATAGATTGTTTTCACTAAATATAGACTTTTGCTTTTTGTTAGGAAACCCATCAAACCAAAACAGTAATGAGAACCTTCTTTCAGTTTCATTTTATCTTTAGCTTCTGGAAACGAAATCAGAAATCCATATTATTTGCTTCATTTAATATTTATGGAAATCAATGACTACGTTAAGATGTTCAATTATCTGGAATCAAACGGGCCCAAATGTCCCGGGCATCAGGGAAGATGATGTTTTCATCTTTGTCTCTAGTTTCGGAAGCAGAAATCGATGGCGTATGTACCTGATGTCTTTGAAGAATGAACCATCGTTTTCTATAGACAGCACTATTCATACAAACCACTCTCCCATGTGAAATATTAGCAACAATTCCATGTATATGATTTTGAATTATGTTGCATAATTTTCCTTGAATTTGATACAAATTAAGTTAGCTGCCCATAACTTAAGTTCAATGGGATTAGAAGATTTGATTTATTAGATCCTAATTGCTCTTTTTAAGTGGTTCAATTTAGTTCATTGTAAGCTTTTCGTTAGTTTTGTTGGGAAATATGACTATCTGTAGAAGTACGTTACTCCTTCGGCATGTCTTCATAAGAATAAAATCAGTTGACATATCGGTGATTTGACAGAATTCCCCATGTGTATATAAGGATCACTCTTTTCATTCTATTTGCTGGACTTATATCCCTACATTCATGTACATTTTTAACAAAAGAAAAATATGTCATGGTCATCGCATGACGTATTCAGATGCATGTTTAAATCAGTTTTAACCTTATGAATTCCAGATCTAATTTCACTTTGTTTTAGAAATATCCATCTTTCTTAAATTTTGATTTTCCAATTACATTTATCTCAATGTAATTCATTTTTGTTCAGCGAGGTGAGGTACAGGGACAACTACATTTTCGCAAGCATTCTTCATTTGCTTAAATAGTAATATGGAGGACAGCAAAAGAAAAAAGCAGGGTGTCGCATTTCACCCCTCCGGTTCAGGCACCTAGGTGGTTTGCAATATACGTTTGCAACACGCTATGTCTTTACACCTATGGACATTGGGGTTCTCTCAAGCCATGGTTTTAACTGCGATGGTCCTAGTTAAGACAATTGTTTTGAAAAAAACTATGACGTTGTGCGCAAGGTTGTTTAATCCATTTTACTTTCCCTTATTTCAGACCCTGACTGTCTGCGTGTCAGTCCTAACTCTTTGCTGTATTGCTGTGGAGAGGTACTACGCTATCTGCCAACCACTCAGTTCGGACATAACCTTCAGGAAAGTGTCTATAACAATGGTGGCCATCTGGATCGCGGGATCTCTGGTAGCACTGCCCAATCTGATTTTCATGGAGATCACGAAGACGTATGAAGACATAGACAATTATCTGGTGTACAATCGCATGAGTTGGTCGTACACGACCGATGTGGCCTACCAAGTATTCTTGGCACTGGCGTTGTACGTGGTGCCATTAATCCTCATGACCATTGTGTATTCTGTCGTGTCCTATACTCTTTGGAGTGCCAAGGCTCCTGGTGCTGAAAACCTAGGTAAGTCTGCTATTGAGGCTGTTCAATCATGCATGAATTCATCTTTTATATCACCGTTTATATTACTGAAAAGCTTTGAACTGTATGCCACGTTTGTGAGAAAAAAATATTTAACGTCGCCGAATAGAGATGGAATATTAGTCAGAGAAAACATATGTACAAGAAGTTTTCACGTCTTTTGACGTTTGGGGATTAGATGTTAATGATCCAGACATGGATACAAAATGGAAAACGAGCACAGTTGAAACAGCAAACTCTCTCTTGTGTTTTCATATTAAAACTTCTTAAAGAGTCAGCACTCATGACTAGGAAATTGCCCTTATCAAGAGGGCCCGTAAACACTTTTAGCACGTATATACCTACCTACCTTACCATCGTCGTGAAGGGGCGATGACAAACAGACAGCAAGTACAACCGAGGGACCATGCTGCCACGGACCCTGCCGATTCCTGCTGTCACGGATCAGTCCTGAAGCAGTAGCACCCCGAAACACCACAGGAACTAACCCATCATTTAAGGAACATGTAACATATTTTTGAAGACATTTTTCGGCAATAAATGTTAGCAACAAGAATAATTAAACCCTAGATAGACAGATACATGGAACAAACTCAATATGACGATACCTAACATATGTCCGTATGGAATGACATTAATGAAGTTAGGATTATGATTACAGTTTTTTAAACGTATTTTCCGTTCTGTCCCCCTTGCAGCCAAGCTTGTACTACGACAAACCTACTCATTGGTATGTTATAGGCAACAGGCAACTAGGCAACCTAACGCTCAGGCAAAACGTATGTAACTCTATAAAGCTCGTCTCCTTCAGTTTCACGCTTTACTGCCAATTATATGGTACATATTTCCGTCCCGCATGTTTCCATTGCTGGAAGCGCTTCTACAAGGTGAACAAAAGATGCCAATAAGGCAGCAGACCTTTCGTCCTTTTAATCAAATATGTTTTCTTGCCTGCAGATCCAATAACATGACATGACAACTGCAGATATCTAGAGTGTTAGAGTTAATTACGTTTGACATTCTTTTTAAAGTGTCATGACGCGGATTCTTAATTTGGCATCTTGAAAGCCCAGAAGGTGTGATGGGCGAGATTAGACAATGTTTTCTTCGGGCCCGAAGGTTGGTGTTTAATGAACAACTTGAAATAGCTTTATCATTCATTCTATAATCACCTGGGAGAATATTATCAGAAAAGAAGATACAAGTGAAGCTAAATGGATAGAACTGATTTCAGATGATATTACAATTTCATTCCAAGTTGAACAGAGTCTGTTCTTTGATCAGCAGACCCGTGAAGGTCCGGGTTAGAATGAACCTGACTAACGGGATCGGGTGGTCAGGCTCGCTGGCTTGGTTGACACATGTCATCGGTTCCCAATTGCACAGATCGATGCTAATACTGTTGATCACTGGATCGTCTGGTCTAGACTCGATTGTGTACAGACCGCCGCCATATAGCTGGAATATTGCTGAGTGCGGCGTAAAAATAAAGTCACTCACTTACTTTTGGAACGGCAAAAGATAAGTTGCATAATACAGACTCTGTCAGGTTATATTATACATAACACAGGGTGGCAGAAAATATCACACAGTAGCAAGCAGAGAGAGAGAGAGAGAGAGAGAGAGAGAGAGAGAGAGAGAGAGAGAGAGAGAGAGAGAGAGAGAGAGAGAGAGAGAGAGAGAGAGAGAGAGAGAGAGAGAGAGAGAGAGAGAGAGAGAGAGAGAGAGAGAGAGAGAGAGAGAGATTCCGGAATGTCAGCCGCTAAGCACCGACAAGTAATTCAGTTGTCAGTTAGTTGTAAGCCGACTTACGTATAATACCTAAATGATAGTGATATACACTGTATTTCCCGATATCTGGTAACCGAAATATTTTGTACAAATCGGAAAAAGAAAGTAAATGAAATCAGCAATCAATCCACATGTTTCCATATGGCTTATGGTGCCAACATGGCCAACATAACACTAGTTGTACGGATCACATACAATTAAACCCGTTTGCCTTTTCTTACGGTTTTTTTTTGTGACACTATTTGGTGGTCAAAGGATGTGATCACAGGCGGGCTTGATTTTCAAACGAAATAGATTTTGTCAATCTGCTGGAGGTCATTAAGAGGCAAGAATTAACACAACTAGTTAACAAACGAATGTGAAATATCGTTATCTATGACTTCATCTCTCTTGTTACCTGGCTGTACAAACTTCGCCTCGGCTGTACACAAACTGCCCATTTACCTATGGAGCAGATGACCGGTCAAATCAGTCAGCTATTACAAATGTTTAATGTAACTCAAATGGGAATGAGTGCCAGTGCGTTTAAAGGATAAAGATGGAAGTTTGGGATGAATAGCTAGGCGATTTAAAGAAACTGCAGAGAGGCACAGACCTGGGGCTCCTTTCACGAAGCAACCTTTACTAAGGTTAACCTTAACTCCCATTCTTTAATATTGCACTAAGGTTACCTCAGTAAACTTATAATCACCTTAGTGCTTCGTGAAAGGAGGTCCAGGACAAGACCAACCGAGCAGTCTAGAAGAGCAGCCTGAGAAGATCAACATCGAATATCTAACAACCCACATAACTGTGGGAAGGCCAACCCATTAGGACGAGCTCCGGTCATACCTGATTAACACCTAAAACAGCCCATAGCCTCTCTCATATCCTGCGCAACGCCCTTTGATCCCTGTTAATAGGAGCGTAATAAAAGAACTAAATACAAACTCGAACGTTTCAGTCGCTGTGCTACATTTGCATGGTGTTACCTGTTAGCTCGTCAACACCAGAACACAGTGTCTAAATGTCATGACCTTAAATGCTACGCATCCACGACATCCAGTAAGAAGGTCAATCCTGACGGCACATCAACAAGGACGTCTCCGCTGGCAAAGACAACACGTGACAGCACGTCAGTGGCTCTCTCTACAGATAAGACACGTGTCCCCAGTCTTCAAGGTGAAGGTGTCATCAAACCATACTCCTTCAAGTGAATTGGTTGGGGGAAGGTAAATAACGACTTGGAAAGGACCGAACCGAGTTTGGTTTCATCGCCAAGAGTAAAGTGATAATGATCAAGCTTAGTGATTACATGTTTTTGAGACTAAACGTTGAACATAGCTCTGGTGTAGGCACAGCTGTTCGACGTTCACAAAGAGTCGTGGCCGCGAATCGCGTTGAATTCCCACAAGACTATCTCGTGTCTTAAAGAGATGGGATATACAGCTCCCGTTATATCCAATACGTCTATGCATAGATAAAATGTCCATGAAGCCTTCTCCTTACAGTCCAGGGGCTTGATAGATGTCCGAAGTGGATCACTAAGGGCCGTTATCGCCCGTTAATGTACAACTTCTGTTTGTGGAGTGCTTGTCATCCAGCAGGTCGTAAAGCGCGTATGAATCTCAACGTACTCTGCTTCAGCCGCCTGATTCAGTCAAAGTTATAAACACATTTTCAGTTACAGTCTGAATCTGGACTCTTAACATACAGTATTAGGTGGACACTTGTCCGGTTGTGTCGCATTTTATATGGCAGTAACTGGCTTATGATCGGGATATATATAGCTGGTGTGGTGGATGTCTGATCGTCAAGCAAGATCCCTGACACATCGTTAACACATATCATACATTTGTATAGTTTTGTGGAATATAATGTTTGCTGTGATGGAAATGGTCCTTTATGCAATAATTATTGTTAGCATTTGATAGATATGTTTGTATTATCGTTTACAGGATGATTTGTACACGTATTTGATGCAAGATCTGAAACTTGTAGTCATCCTCCTCTTTCAGTGACCAAAGTATTGTGATATTGAGCAATATTGTTTCACCTGGCGCTTCGCTATTCTTTCATTGTGATATGGGAATGCATGTATTTCAATTCGTCGCTATAGCTTGTGGAATGTTTTTTTTTCTTTCTGTAATTGTGTGAATATGCGCTTTATTTTGGGTCATTGCGACCTGAACCTAAAGATTTATAGGAACACGTGTGCATCTTCATATCACATCTTGAACACATGGGCCTATTTGCACGGATGAGTCTCACGAGGCTCGAGTTCATTGTTAGACAGGGCATAAATGTATCACAGAATGGATATTTACGAGAAGAAGGACAATTACAGCATTCAATCAAGGACCCTGGGTTGATTGTGTCCCGTCACTTATCATGTGAGGATGTTGGAAACGATCTACAAGATACTTCTTGTTAATGTAGTTTTTGTACATTGGAGAAATGTTCGACTATGTTTTGCAGTATATACCTAAAGTTGTATGTGTGTATATTTGAAAATGTTAAATGCACTTCCCTTACTATTGATACGATTAATATTGAATGTATGTGTGTGTGTGTGTGTGTGTTTGTGAGTGAGTGAGTGGGTGTGTGCGTGTGTGCGTGTGTGTGTGTTTTATGTATGCATTGTTACGAGGCTAAACGCTGTCATATTGCATCCTTTGGGAATTCTGCGCAAGACATGATAAATTATCAGAATCTCCTTTCTTACAAAAATTATTTATATGGTATTTCATCCTTCATTTAAATTCCCACAGTATATGAATAATGTTTCATTTACTGGATCGTTATGCTTCGAGTGTAAACCCTTGACTGATGGTCCAAATAGCCTGCAGAATCAAGGCGGATTATTCCAGGTTAATATGCTTGGAGCAGATCGCCAATGTATTTAATCACATCTGTATGCATTGTGATCGAAGTATAAATTACATAAAGAGTCTGTGTTGTTATTGAAATGTCATCGAACATGGTAAATACGAGTTTTACCTTTAAGACCAATTTTATGGGCAAACGCGTTTTATGCAACAACCAAGAAATCCATAAAAGAATGAATGTTTGTCTTGTCGCTTTCGTATTTTCTCCTGTATACAATTAATCTGATTTGTGAACCATTAACCGGAAGTGACTATTATGGAGTCTTTATCATAGAAGTAAATTAGTGGGAATAAGAGCCAGTGTTCTGTTGGAAAGTTTGATAT